ATTTATTCACACACAGTTCACGATGGGAACTTTACACAATATATTAACTTCAGTCAAGATATACAAATAAAAAATAAAATCTACACTAACCTTATCCTTTTTTTATTCTATTATTCAACCAGGTATACCATTGGTCCCAACATCGAAAATATATGGAGTCCTTTTGATCTCTCAAAATTTTTGTTAACCTGTCAGCTTCCGCATATTCGATAATTTTTCCCAGATTCAAATCTTCAGCTGGTAGGTCTTTCCCCTTCCAATGTTGAGCAAAACATATTCTTGCTGCGGTTGTGATATATGTAATCAGACACCATATATTCGTGCCTATCTTATCTGGCCTAATATTTAATAAATAATATTCTGGTTTCAATTGTAATTTATATCCCGTGATTTCTAATATCCACCTCTGTATAAGTCTCCAAATTTCGATTGCTTTAGGGAAGGTCCACCATACATGATAATAAGTACCTATCTCCCCACACTTCCAACAATTTGGGGAGAGTCCTGGAAACATTCTGGCTAATTGAGCAGGAGGGAGATGCCATCTATACACCATCTTATACAAGTTTTCTTTGTAAGTGGTTGCCATCAGAAATTTCAATTGTTTCGTCCAAATTTCTTCCCATTTTATCAATTCAATTGAGTAACCAGTATTTCTCCTCCAGGCAATCATTGAATCTTTAACAATCTCATCCCCTATCCAATAAGTTATTAAGAATTTATAGATCTTAGATAATATTCTTTCCTCCTTTCCTAATATAATACTATCTATTTCTTGCTGGGTCATATCTATACCACTTTTTTCCTTGTCTTTCTTATATTTAGAGCTGATCTGGGCGTAGGACCACCAATCCAATTTTATTCCTTGAAGCTCTAACTCAGTTCTTGTTTTTAAGTAGCCTTGGGCATCCAACAATTCCCGATAGGATAGGTGTTTTTCTTTATTGTAAAGCGAACTATATGTTGTAGCTTCTAATGGGACCAACCAAGAAGGAGTCGAAAAGTAGAGTTTACCCTTAACTTTCCTCCATGTATCAATTAGGATATTCCTTACATAATGTCCTGCAAAACTCATATGTTTTTTAACCTTATCTTGCCAAAGAAAATAGTGCCAACCCTGTTATAGCCCTGAACCTTCCAGAATCAACAACTGTCTTCTTCTCAGCAGGATCCATTCCCTTACCCAAACTAAATTTGCAGCCTGATAATAATATTCCCATTTTGGTAAGCCAAATCCCCCTCTTTCTTTCACCTCTTGAAGCATTTTAAGTTTAATTCTGGGCTTTTTATTTTGCCAGATAAATTTAAGGACACATTGATTTAACTTTTTGAAAAAGTTATTGTCTAGTCTAGCTGGTGCTGTATAAAATAGATATGTCCATTTTGGGAGGATATAGGATTTTATAATCGCGATCCTACCTAATAGAGACGTCTGAAGGTTCTTCCATTTCTCTAAATCCTGTTCTGTTCGTTGGAGTAATTTCAAATAATTATCTTCTTTAATTGTTGTGCATTTAGCTGATAATATAATACCTAGATATTGTAATTTATTGACAATTTGGAATCCCAAATTCGCTTCTAATTCCTTCCCCTGCTTTGTTGTCAAATTTTTAATGATAACCTTAGTTTTTTCCTTCTTTACTTTTAAGCCCGCTACATTTCCATACTTTCCTAACTCATAAATCAAATTCGGACCTGATAAAATGGGGTCTTCCAATATAAATACTAGGTCATCAGCGTATGCTTGTACCTTATATTGTTGGTTTTTAATATGCAATCCTTTTATCCCCGAATTACGCCTAATTTCTCTCAATAAAGGTTCTAATGTTAAAATAAATAGCAACGGAGAGAGCGGGCACCCCTGTCTAGTTCCTTTCTCAATGCAGATTTGTTCAGAAACATCTCCATTAATTAGAATTTTAGCAGACTGCTTTGAATAGATTGAATGAATTGCCTGAATAAACCTTTCCCCAAATTGCATGTGTTGTAATAAACCCACTAAAAAACTCCAACTCACTTGATCAAAGACCTTTTGCGCATCCACAAAGACCAAAGCCAATTGTTTATCAATATGGGTTTCATAATGTTCCAAGACGTTCATAATTATTCTCACATTATCTCTAATCTGCCTACAAGGTAGGAAACCGTTTTGATCTTCATGTATAAATTGACTTAGAAAGCCTTTTAATCTTTCTGCTAGTACTGCCACAAATAATTTGTAATCTGCATTAAGGAGCGAAATAGGTCTATAATTCTGGATCAGGGATAAGTCACTGCTTTCCTTCGGCAAGAGGGTTATTAATGCTTCTGACCAGGAATTCGGAATCTGTCCCTCCCGGATTACCCCATTAAATAGTTCTGTCATATAAGGGCTTAAGACTTCCCAAAGTGCCTTATAATATTCTATTGGGAGGCCATCTGTACCGGGAGTCTTTCCTGTTTTTTGTTTTCCCATAACCCTTTCAATTTCCCCTTTGGTTATCTCCCTGTCCAGTATTTCCCTAGACATATCCGATATTTTGGGTAGATCAGATTCTTCTAAATATTTCTTTATTTCCTGCTCAGACTTATCCTCTTTTCTATATAGATGGGTATAAAATTTCTGCGCTATTCTTTTCTTCTCTTCTTCCCCTGTAATCCATTCACCATTCCCATCTCTCAAATTATGAATTCTACTCCTTTCCTTTTCTTTTTTTAATCGGTATGTGAGCCATCTTCCCTGTTTATTTGCGTTTTCAAATTGTCGTTGTTTCATCCACCTAATTTTTTTTTCTAAGTCCTCTTGGTCTAATAAGTTAATTTGTTGTCGTACTAATTTCAAATTCATATTGAGTTCTCTATTGTTTGGGTCCTGTTGCAACATAGCCTCACTTTTTGTCAAGTCTTCTAATAATTTATCTTGTTTAGCCCTCTCCTTCTTCCGTTTCCCAGCTATATAGTTTATCACTAAACCCTGAAACACTGCTTTAGCTGTTTCCCAGACATTTAAAAAGTTCGCATCTTCCTTATTATTTTCCTGAAAGAAAAAATCCATCTCCTCCTTTAAATAACTTAAGAATTGTTCATCTTTGAGGACCCTTACATCCATTCTCCACCTGGGCCTTATTTTCAAACCTCCCCATGTTATCCATAGTGGATTATGGTCTGCCCACTCATTGATACCTATTTCTACTTTCTGTGTTCCCTGCCTCAGTTCCCCCGACATCCAAACCGCATCTATCCGCGACCAAGATGAGTGCCTGGCTGAGAAATATGTGTACTGTCTATCTTCCAGATGTTTTTCCCTCCAAATGTCTCTAAGTTCAAATTCCTCTTGTATTTGATGGCAGATAGTAGGCAATCTTTTCTTTTCTGATCTTTTTTCCCTCCTGATTCTTATTTCCGGATATATAATCTTTATCCTTATCATCTATGGCGTTGAAGTCCCTCACTATACAAATATATGAGTAATCAAATTCTACCAATTTACTATAAAGATTCTGAAAAAAAACTTTTTGGTTCCCATTAGGTGCATAAATACAAACCAATAGGCATTTTTTACCACAAATTTCTACTTCGATCATCAAAAGTCTCCCTTCTTCATCTGCAAAAATTAGTCTCGAGTTTATATGAACATAAATTGCTACTCCTCTTTTGAACATAAATTGCTACTCCTCTTTTTTTAGTTTCCGCTAAAGATGTATATAATTGACCCAATTTGGTATGATTCAGTAAATAAAGATGATCTCTTTTCACGTGTACTTCTTGAAGGCATATAATATTCAAACATGCTTTTATTAATTTATCTTTTTTCTCTTATTCAGGCTATTCAGCCCATTGATGTTAACTGACAATAATTGAATTTCCTCCCCCATCCCTTCTCCCTTCTGTTGCCCTTACTTGCCTTCTACTTGGAGTTTCTTTTTTGTTTGTCTTGTTTCTCTCTGGTTTAGTCCCTCGGCTCCTATTTCTGCCTGTATCTGCATCTGTCCTCTTCCTTTCTTTCTCCCACCTAGCTGTTCTGGTTCCCCTCTCTCTTCCTCCTCTAATAATTCTTCCCCACTCTTCCCCTCTGACTCTTCTCCCACATCCGCCTCTAAAGGGTTCAAATATCTTATAAAAAAGTCTCTGGCATCTCTAAGGTTATCAATTCTCACTTTTTTAGGAGCCCAAGTAAATTGTAACCCTTCCGGTAGTAGCCACCTGTATAATACTTTGTGTTTTCTTAATTGAGTGGTTAAGAAATGATAGTTTCATTGTATTTCCCGTACCCGTCTGGGGAGTTGCTTCAGTATTATCAATTGTTTGTCCTTATATGTCACCGTTTTGTCTCTGGACTTCAAAATCACTTCTTCCCTAAGATAAATGTGGATTTCTACATAGAGGATAACTTAGGGACAATATGAGAATTGTTTTGGATATAATGGAGTAAGTCTAATAACAAATAAGAAACCAGTAGCTCTGATCTTTTCGGATGCTGAAAAAGCCTTCAAAAATTTGAACTGGGATTTTATGTTCAGAGTTGTGGAAGATATGGCCTTTCAGGATAATTCTCTTGGAGGAATTAAATCTATTTATACATCCCAGAAAGAACAAGTTACTAGTTTTGATACTACAAGAACTCCAGAATGGTATAGAACTGAAGCATTTGGGCATATTAGCTGGTTTTAAAATTAATCAAAAGAAGAGAAAGATGTTCACGATAAAATAATAGAAAAAAGAATTTAAAAAATAGAGAAGGGGTCACACTGACCAATAGGAATTGCATGTTGTTTTAGAAAATATGTTAAAATATGGAATGATGTTACAAAAGACTTAGCGAGATAGAGCAAATTATTGTTGTTGTTGTTATTGACTTTTTGTTATTAAGATGAATGTCTTATTCAGGATATTATTTTTATTTCAAACTATACTGATGTTGTCAATTGTTTTACCATTAAAACATAAAATTTCATTATAATAATTTCTACAACAATGTGTTAAATGGAAAATACTCTTCTTTATATAATTTCATTGTTTAGGGTATGCAAATTATTCCTTTGCTATCATCAGTGCTCCATGATGAATCCCAGTGGGAGAAACCTCATGAATTCTACCCTGAGCATTTTCTTGACTCTGAAGGAAAATTTGTGAAGAGGGATGCATTCATGCCTTTCTCTGCAGGTAACATCACTCTGTATATGTGAAAAGCTATCCTGGAAAGAGTTTCAGTGCAACAGGATAGTTAGGAAGATTCATTATTTCCTTTAAGATTATAATTATTCCTTTGAGGCAATGTGACTATGGAAAGCCATGTAAAATTGTTTAAGAAGCCAAAAAACCTCATCTTTTTTGCCATCTATGTTTTCTTCCAGGTCAGAGAGTATGTGCTGGGGAGACCCTTGCCAAAATGGAGCTCTTCCTTTTTTTTACCAACCTCCTCCAGAGATTTACCTTCCAGCCACCTTCAGGAACATCTAAAGATGATCTGGACCTGACTCCTGCTCTTGGACTTACCACCCCTCCCATGCCTTACAAGACCTGTGCTGTGTTATCTTGATCTGACAGGAAAAAAACTCATAATAAGTTGTTTTCTCACCTTTTAAATAGCTCTATTTTGAAAGACAGGCAAAATCTGACAATCCAATTCCATATTACATTATATTCATTATATTTATTTTATTTGAATTCCACCTTTATTATTTTTAAAAATAACTCAAGGAAGTGAACATATCCAATACACTATCCTACCCTTATTTTCCCAAAGCTCTTTGGGCTAAGAGGAGAGACTGGCCCAGAGTCACCCCAGCTAGAACTCAGAGTTTCCTAGTTATTAACCCAAAGTCACCCAGCTGGATTTCATTGCTAAAGTGGGACCTGAACTCACAATCTCCTGTTTTCTAGGCTGGTGTCTCAACCACTAGACCAAACTATCTATTCTTTAAGTTTCATGTATTGCCTAAAAGATGAATAGCAGTAATCTATAGAAACATAAAATATAGGTTCTGATAGGGAAGAACAGTGGGAAATCATGAAAAGCAAAGCGCTTTGTATCATATTACTTAATTTTTCTTTTGGGGCCATTTGTTTCCTTTGGCTTTTACTATTTTTTCTCCTTTCTGTTTCTGGTTAGAAATTTTTTGTTTCTTTTACTTTTGAGTATTTTAATTACTTTTTAAAAAAGCAGCCTTTCTCTCTCTCTCTTTTTTGCAATAGTCCTAATTGTAAATTCATATATTTGCTTTATAAACCTAGTTATCATTTTTATTATTTCTTCAAAAACCAATAAAATAATATTTTATATCAGGAAATTCCATGGGGCCTCCAGCAACAAATCAGAGTGGGTTGAGGGGCTCTTGCCAAACCCAATGACACAGAGCTGAATGCAGCATGACCTAACATCTCTTTGCCCAACACCTCCAGAGGAAATCCCACAAGGCAAGCCTCATTAAATGGAGTCAATGTCATCCATTCTGAACAAGACCCCACCCCCCACCCCCCAGGAACTGATGCAGGACTTATATGAGACAAACCGCCTTTAGAGGAGGCTATAATTGCTGCTGCTGATCTCCCAGCCCAACATAATAGCAATAGCGCTTAGACTTATATACCACTTCATAGTGCTTTCACAGCCATGTCTAAGCGGTTTACAGAGTCAGCATATTGCCCCCAACAATCTGGGTCCTCATTTTACCCACCTCAGAAGGATGGAAGGCTGAGTCAACCTTGAGCCTGTTGAGATAATAATTTCACAGCTTCCTCTTGTCAAAACCATACCTCCTGAAGGGCCTCAAACGACTCTCCTCTTTCATTTCTAACCTGGAAAATTGACAGCTGGTCATTCCATCAAAAGACCAGCTTTTTTTTTAAAGCTATATATCACAATTTGTTGTCCTCTTCCTACAAGGAAGTTGGGTTCCTTCAGAGGTGAAGCTAGATGGTTACTGGGTTAACTCTATCTCCGCTTTCCTGAGCAAAGCAGGTGGGTTATCTAAACGTATTATGACTCTAGTTAGCACAATCTTTCAATTCAGATGTCTTCTTTACAGCCATGGGTTGTACCTACCTATCCCTCATCCAACCATAGGAGATTTTGCTTTTTAACATTTATGTTCCTCCTTTTTATTGCAAAAGTTTTACAATTACATTTTCACCCCATTTCCCCCCCCATCCCACCCCCCACCCCCCCCCTAACCCCCCCCAAACCCCCCTAACCCTCCCCCCCTGACTTCCACAAAATATAATCTCATCAAAATCCCCTTTTTATAAAATTTGAACCCCTCCAACCCCCTTAAAATTTTTTTATCTTCACAGTATTCATACATTTCTATTTTTATATAATACTTTCAATGAAAAGCTATTTGATACTTCCTAACTTGATATTTGTTCTGCATATAATCTATCCATTTTTTCCATTCCCATTCATAAGTCTCTTGTGAGCGATCTTTTAAATATGCTGAAATCTTCGCCATCTCCGCAAAGCTGGCCATCTTCAAAGTCCATTCTTCAATAGTGGGTAAAGCTTCATTTTTCCAATATTTACCTATCAATAATCTCGCTGCTGTTATCATGTACAATATCAACTTAATTTCATCCAGTGTAAAACCCTTTACTATATCCAATAAAAACAATTGTGAAGAAAATGGAATTTTTTTCTTCAAAACATTCTGCATAACCCACCATATTTTTATCCAAAAAGCCTTAACTTTCTTACAATTCCACCAAACATGATAATATGTAGCATCTAAACAATCACATCTCCAACATTTTGGCTGAACATTAGGATACATACAAGATAATTTCTTGGGATCTAAATGCCATCTGTAAAACATCTTATAAAAATTTTCCCTCAAATTCTGCGATTGTGTGAATTTAACATTCTGAACCCATATTTTCTCCCATGTTTCCAACATTACTGGTTCTGCAAAATTCTGTGCCCATTTAATCATACAATCTTTAACCAATTCAGTTTCTGAATCCCTTTCTAACAAAACATTATATAGCCTTTTGATATGCATTGGACCTTTCTCTTTTATATGTCTAACCAACTCTTCCTCATGCAACATGATACTAGTTTTTTGGTCCTCTTTCCATCTCAGTTGAAGTTGATTATATTGTAACCAAGTTAGATTAATCCCTTCGCCCAACAGTGTCTCTAATGTCTTCAGTTGCCATCTGCCCGCATCTGTAAAAAGAACCTCTTTATATAAAACCCCCCCGAGTGACATTATATTTGTATTCCAGATAATATGACCAAGATCCAGCCATAATGGTATTTCATAATCCCATTTGAGTCGGTGCTTCTTCCATACTCTCATCAAAGAATCTCTAAGTATATGGCTTTTAAATACTTTATCCACTTTGTTTTCATAAAATAAGTAAGTGTGCCAACCAAATTCGAGATCAAAACTTTCTATATTCAATATTCCAGTCTTTTTCCTTCCAAACCAATCGCTTGCTTGAGTCAAAGTTGCTGCTTCATAATATAACTGTAGGTTTGGAAGTTTAAGACCTCCCCTTTCCGGAACATCTTGCATAATTTTCAATTTCACTCTCGGTTTTTTCTCATTCCAGACAAACTTATTCACTCCAATTTGCCACTCTTTCAGTTGTTTATCACTTTTAAGCACCGGAATCATTTGAAACAAAAAAAGAAATCTTGGCAAAATGTTCATCTTTACTGCTGCTATTCTTCCAAGTAAAGAAAGCTGCAGTTTTTTCCATGTCTCCATGTCTTTTTGTACCTCTCGCCACAACACCTCATAGTTATTTTGAAACAGTTTCATATTAGATTCTGCAACCTGAACTCCTAAATATTTAACTTTTGATACAATCTCAAAACCTGCCCTCCTTTCAAGTTCATGTTTTCGGTCTTGTGTCATATTTTTGACTATCATCTTAGTTTTTTTCTGGTTCAGTCTAAATCCTGATACTGTGCCATAATCTTTTATAATGTCTTTCATCTGGATTATTGATTCCACCGGCTGTGTTAGGGTAACAACCAGATCATCTGCGAATGCCCTTATTCTGTAATCCTCTTGCCTTATCACTATACCTTTCAAGCTAGTCGAATCCCTTATTGTATTCAACAAGACTTCTAATGTTAAAATAAATAGCAAAGGGGATAACGGACAACCTTGTCTTGTTCCTTTTTCAATTTTGAAGTCTGTTGTCAAACTTCCATTAATAATAATCTGTGCCTTTTGCTCTTGGTAAATTGCTGAAACCGCCAATATAAATTGATCCCCAAAGTCCATTTTTTTCAAAGTCTTTAATAGAAAATTCCAATCCACTCTGTCAAAGGCTTTCTCCGCATCCAAGAAAGCCAGCACTGCAGGGATCTGTTTATTCTTCTCAAGATATTCCAGTAAATCTATCACTTGCCTTACATTGTCCTTCATATATCTGCCCTCTATAAATCCCGCTTGATCATCATGAATCACCTCTTGAATTACTGGCATCAACCTGTTGGCTAATACTTTTGCATAAATTTTGTAGTCATTATTCAGAAGAGATATTGGCCTATAATTTTCCGGTTTTTTAGGACCTGCTTGCTCTTTTGGTATCAAAGAAATATAAGCTGTTTTCCATGATGGGGGTATTTTACCCCCTTGTTGTATATTACAAAATAAGTCTCTGAGTTGTTCCACCATTTCTGCTTGCAAAGTTTTATAATACACTGCAGTCAGGCCATCTGTTCCCGGAGCTTTGGCAGTTTTCAGTTGTTTAATTGCTGCAATTATCTCCTCAACTGTTATAGGGTGATTCATTCTTTCCTTTTGTTGGTTAGTGACTTTTGTAACTCTTTTATTTTCTAGATATTTTTCTATAAGTCCATTCTGTATGTCATCTTTAGCATATAATTTAGTATAGTAATCTACAAAAACTTCTTTAATTAATTTTTGTTGATAAATTTCTGTCCCTCCAATATCAATACAGTCGATGGTCCGCATACTCTGCTTCTTCCTTAAGGTATAAGCCAGCCATCTGCCCGGTTTATTGGCATTACAAAATGTGTTATGCTTTGCATATTGTAAATTTGTTGCAACTTGATCCGCCATAAGCATTTGGAATTGGTCTTTCAAAAGTTTTATAGCACCACGTATTCTTTCATCTGTTGGATTTTTAATAAGTAACTGTTCTTTTTTCTTTATTTCTGCTTCAATTTCAAATCTTTTCTTTTGGCTATTCAGTTTATGTTTAGAGTTCATGTGAATGAGTACCCCTCTCATATATGCTTTACTCGCATCCCACACAATTTCAACAGGGGTACCCTTGTTCAAATTAATTTCAAAAAATTCTTTCATCTGCTTCTTAAGTTCTGTTATATTTTTTTCATATCTAAACAAATTTTCATTTAGTCTCCATGATCTTCTCTCAATTTTTGCAGTCTCAATTTCTATCCATACTGGACTATGATCAGATAAAGTTCTTGGAAAGATTTTAGTTCTTTTTGTTTTAACAAGTAAATCATTTGATACTAAAATAAAATCAATCCTTGAAAAAGATCTATGTCTATCAGAAAAGAAAGTATAGTCCAAGTCTTTTGAGTTATGTATTCTCCAAACATCCTTTAGTTCCAAATCTTCTTTCATTTCAAAAACAGTTTGTGGTAGTCTAATCCTTGACTTCGCCAGACTTTTTTTGTCTAGTTTAGAATCAATTACTCCATTCCAA